AGGAGGTTGCCACAAAACCGATTATGCAGAGAATTCACCAGAAGAATTTAAAAGGTGAAGGCAGGACATTCAGAGGAAATCATGAAAAGTACAGAAAAAGAAGCAGGATTCAGACAAAACTCACTAACTGAACAATCATTGAGTAATGGTCATGGTCCAACAAAGATTAGTAACTGAGCTCAGCCTTAAGCAGGGCTTAATTTGAGTCGGATCCTGTCGGAACAGGATCCGGAGACTCTCTTATTTTGACAGGGTGCACTTCGATAACTGTTTGCTTGGATCCAGTAACTCTCAGGCTTTCTAATAATAAAGTTATGAACAAATATGACTGCCTTGAATGAATAAAATTTATATTGGATATGTAAACTGAAAATAATTACATAAACACTCATTTTAAACACAACATACGATCTGCCTCTTCAAGCTGAGCTTACCTGGCAGTCGTACACAGGCAGGAGCTCACAGGCAGCCGCCATGAACAGACGGAGGAGTCGCCTGGAGGTTTCACATGTGGAGTCGCACAGTGAATTTAGCAGAAAAGAGTCGGCTTGGAACCATTAACTTGGGAGGGAGGGGGAGGGGGGATGCTTGACAGAAGTGGAGTGTTTACAAATGTAGGTAAATGGAGATGTTTAACAACCTGTTAAAATACACCAAAATGCAGGAAATGGCATTTACTTTATTCTAAATTTTATGGGGGAGGACCACCAGACCAACCCCGACCCCCTCCTGCAACCCCCTGCCGGCCCACCTGCTATTTGCATTCCGACATCGATTGGTTTACAAATTAAGCCCTGGCCTTAAGTACTAGATGTATTCAGGTGGGAAGAGATGTGTGAGTTGATGTACAATCAGTGCTACCCAGGTGGACATCAAGACAGGGAGGGGGAGACTGAAACACACTGAAATCCTGAGAGACGTATCCTTAATCCACACAGAATGTTTCTTTAACAACCAACAATGTTTTGTGTTTCATGACTTAAGAAGCCTTCTGGATGGAAGGTGAAACGTTTCGGCACACAAAAAAAGATACCGTTCGGATGACCTGACTGAAAATTGTTGAACCAACAATTTTCAGTCAGGTCATCTGGACGGTTTCTCTTTTTGTGCTGAGACGTTTTGCCCGTCATCCAACGGACTCCTTTAGTCTGAGGAAACACCAAACAAAACTGATTCTCCACTAACAGCTTACTCCAAAGTGGGGGGAAAAACAAACAAACAAAGTTTTTTACAGAAACATCAGTGTTTCAGGAGCCCCTGAAAGGTATTTTTTAAAAAGGGTTTCCAGTGAGAAAACCTTGAAATACTGCCTTTGTGTTTTACTATAGACAGCGTACATTTTTTTTAAATTTACCCTTTATTTATCCAGGTAGTCTCATTGAGCCACGAGAACTCATTTTCAAGATAGACCTGTTTAGGGAGCACATGGTGGGGGTTAAGGGCCTTGTTCGGGGGCCCAGGGTGGAGCGAATGAGGGTGGAGGCAGGTGTGGGTGTTTCATCTTTTCCACCCACATTTTGATGTTGACGGTACCGGGAGTTGAACCTACGACTTTCCAATCACAGGCCCATCTTCTAACCTCTGCGCCACCATTCCCCCACCAACACAGTAAACACAGTCTTGAGAAGTATGACGCCGAACACACACCTCTAATCTAACCTATGACCCAAACATGACAGAGCATCAACAGTGACATCACAGGAAATGTTTCCATTGTGAAAAATACAAACTAAAGTGTGAATGCTGAGTACTGAATGAGTGCTGAAATCTGTTAAAGAAATCAAAACTGAGTTGTATAATATAAAAATGCAAAACAGAAGCTAAAAGGAGCATAACAGCAAAAACCTCAAATGAGCAGAACATGATCTAAAAGCTAAAACAAGCAGAAGAGCAGCTAAAAGCTAAAATTATCAAAACATAAGCAAGAACAAAGTTAAGAGCTAAGACTGGCGAAACCATAGTGACAATGTAAAAGAGGACAACAATAGCCAAAAGCTCAAGTTAGCAAAACTATAGCTTAAAGCTAAACTTAGCCAGCAAAACTAAAAGCTAAAATTAGCAAAAACTGTTGGTAAAAGTGGCATAAAAAGACAAATACAAATAAGTGTGTTGGAGCAGGTTTCAAAAGGAACAATGTTTTAAATTAAATAAGAGATCTCACTTTACTTAGATGGGGTCATCTATTTTAAATTATATAATTTTTAAAGGCATAAAAGGTATAAAAATCCAAAAGTCACAGTACACTATTCCTGATCAAGTCGAATGATTTGATATATGAAATATTAAAATAGCACAAAGTATGCAACAGGAGTTGCAAAAAACACAACAAAACAATAAACATGAAAACAAAAGTGTGAATATTTAAGTAAAATATTTGACTCTTAAGATATTCTTCCAGTTTGGTCACAGCACCGAGTGCTCCAGACCACTGGGACTACTGATGCCTCGGCTCCTCACAACCTCTGCATTTCCTCTTTCAGCTCTTGGCATTTCTCCAGCTGCTCCTTCTTCCTGATGTTACAGTCACTTGGGATACACGTACCACCACTGCCTTCTTCGTTGTCGACCACCACGATGACTGGTTGGTTAGCATCACCTCTTAGTCTGGATCTGACAGTCCCACAGTATCTGAACTCTGTCATTCACCACCGCCCGAGTTTCCCATTTTGACTGTGGGGCCTCCAGTTCATACTCGGCACAGACGTTCCTGTATATTATTCCAGCCACTTATCACGTTCCATGTATGCATTGCCTGCCTGGATCTTACAAGGATGCGCTGTCTCAGGGACATCTTTGCAGGGCCTGCATCTTGGGTCTTGTCTGGTATGGTAGACTAGACCCTGGTCTTTATTGTTCTTGTGTTGCCATGATGAGTGCCTCTCTGCTGCTCTTAAGTCCGTCTTTAGCCACTTGTTCATTCTGCAGGTGGAACATGCCATGCAGGGTCTTATCTCTCCTCCTCTTCCACACTGAGTTTCTGCTGATCATTCACTCATCAGTTCATCATCCGGGGCTTTCCTCCTCATTAGTTGTTTCATCCAGTAGTGGCTTGGACACTCACTAGTCCTCTGCCTCCCTCAGTCTCAGGGTGTTCATTGTGAGGAGCTTCTGATGTCAGAGCCTTCTATCTCATTTGGCTAAAGTAAATCTGATGTCTGGCACTACATGCACATACTTGGTTGTAGCTGACTTCCTTGTGGCTTCATCCTTTTATTATATGAAAAGCAATTATTCTGACTGCTGTTACTCGTTTGTATGTCTGTGGCCATTTTATTTATTTATTTTACCTGAGACACCAGTAAAACTTCATCTTTAACCACTGTCTAAGGCAAACGATTACATGTTGCACGTGTCTGTGTTCATTCACATGTAGTTAGAAAGACATGAATCACTGGACAGATTATGATGAATTGCTTATAAAACATATTAAATGTAGGCCCTACATCAACAACATGGTCACAACAGCTAAGCAAACGATTATTATAACTGAATCATATATACATGGATGGATTTAAAAAATCACACACCATTTGCAGATGATGTGGTCCTGTTGGCGTCATCGTGCTGTGGTCTTCAGATCTCAGTGGAGCGGTTTGAAGCACCTGGGACTGTGAGGAACAGCTCCTCCTGATATTAGACCAGAAAAGGGTGAATTGTTTTCTCTGGGTTGAGAGTGAGGTGATACCTCTTGTAGAAGAGTTCAAGTATCTCGGGGTTTTGTTTCATGAGTGAGGGAAGAATGGAGAGTGAGATCAACAGACAGATTGAAGTAGCATCTGCAGTATTGTGGACTCTGTGCCGGTTTGTTGTGGTGAAGAGGGAGTTGAGCTTTGACGAACCCCTCCGTTTACCTGTCAGGACCCTCACCTGGTCACAAACTTTGGGCAGTGGCCAAAAGAACAAGACCTTAGAGTTGGTCAAAATGAGTTTCCTCTGCAGGGTAGCTGGACTTTCCCTTAGAGATATGCAAGAAGTTCAGTTATCCAGGAGAGATTCAGTAGAACCGCTGCTCCTCCACACCCAGAGGAGCCAGGCGAGGTGGATCGAGCATCTGGTAAGGATGTCACCTGAATGTCACCTGGACACCTTTAGGGAGGTTTTATGGGCATGTCTGATTGGGAAGAGGCCCTGGGGAAGAACCAGGACACACTGGAGAGACTATGTCTCTCAGCTGGCCTGGAAACATCTGGGTCCAACCAGAAGAGCTGGAAGAGCTGGCTGTGGAGAGAGAGGTCTGTACCACCCTACTCAAGCTGCTGCCCCCCCCCCCCCCCCCCCCCCCCCCGACTGTGGTGCATGCAGAAGATGGATTAATTTGTTGTATTAGTAGCAGCGTCACTCCAAAAACATTTGGAGTATTACACATTATGTTGTATTTTTGCTTTAAAACTTTGGTATTGCTGGCATGAACCATGTCTGTTAGCAAAAATTTCTCAATCGTTGGACTGACACTGAAGCTTGCAGTAAGTAATCATTGTACATGCACAACTTGGTAATAGCTATAGTGACCACAATTGATCCATATAAGTCATGACAAGAATGGCTTTAACTGTCGAGTTTAGATGAGTTAAAAAACTTGGTGTGGTAGTAGCTGACAGTCGTTCACAACACACTCCGAGCACGACACACTGTCCAACATCCTAAATGTTAAACTGCCACACTGTTAGCAAATAATGACATGAACCATTTGACTCTCAGGAAGTAATCACTGGATGTTTGACCAACTTTTGGCATTAATTCAAGATGGCCACCAACCTCAAATTGGTCATATTTACAGACGATGACCTAATGTATGTTTGTAGTCATCATATCTACACGAGACATTGGTTGAACTTTGAGTTGTAACAATTATTGAACCGTATTGTTTTATCTTTATGTTCAATTTTGCACTCAGTCTGGTAAAGGAAAATTCATTTTTATTACACAAAGAAATAACATAAAGGCAACAAAAATAAAAGAGAACGATTTGTTGAAGTGTGACCGTGTCTAGAGCCCTGCGAGGTGATCTTAATCCTGACTGCTGCCTGTAAATGGATCAGCTGTCGGACGTCTATCCCATTTAGTTAAACATGATTCTACCCCCACCCCCTCAATGATAAATTCCTTCAAACATCCAGAACATTCACATACAAACACAGAACCAAAGCAGATTTTCTGTTTTTAATCACAAATCAATGGCTTACAAAACTAATAATCATTCTGTGGATCCTGTTGATTGAAGAAATAAAAAGAAATGATGTGGATTTGGTGACGGGCGTGTTTGAAGGTGTGGGCGGACGCTCTATTTATGTTTGTGTTTGCTGTTTTTATCTGAGCGCACGGCTCTGGACCAGACACGTGGCAGAGCTGCTTTTCCACTGGTGTCTGCAGCAAACCATCTGTGCACCATCACCATGGGGACCCATAAATGATTGTCGCAGCTCCTCGTCTTCAAAGCTCCTAGCGATCGTTCCGTCCATCTGTCCGTCCCTCGGTTGCTACAAGTATCTCTGCAGAAGCTGCTTCCTGGTTTACGTCTGGTTCCCATCTGTCTCCAGGTGCGGTCCTCATGGAGATTTGGTGTTCAGAACCTCAACGGTCTTGCGGCCGTAGTGCCAGTAGCTGTATCCTGATGCTGCTGTGGTCACAGCTGTAACGTACCTGCAGCACCAGAAAAAAACAAACATCACCTGAAACCATCCGGAGTTTCAGACCAGCTCAGTTGTTCAGTTTCAGATGAAAAGGCAGTGAGCTTTGACCATTTATCCATTAGTGCATTGCGCCCCCTCATGGTTGTGTCTGGTAAACACTGGACCAGAACCAAAGCTAAGCCACATGTTCACTGACCTTCAGAACACAAAATGCAACAAACTACAATAAACACATTAGTGTTTAATCAGACAAAATGTTTTATGTGTCGAACTAAGTAAAATTAAACTTTTCACATGTTCACAAGTGATTTACACGTTTTAAACATTTCTTTTGTCATAATCACAATGAAGTTAAAACTCGTTTGTGTGTAATATTTGTTCTAATAAAACGACAGGCTTAAATAAAGTAAAACATAGAACAAACAATTATCTCTCATGTTACTTAAAACCACGTCCTAATGGTAATAAGTTTGAATTTTGGACTAAGATCAACCAAGACATCACTCAACACAAACACGGCACATTGTACGCTCAATGCACAAACAATTAACATATTTTCCACCGTACATGTGGCACCGCCTTATAAGTCACATCAGTCCAAATATGTCTAATAAAGTGGGAAAAAAAACATAATACAACACTTTGGTGTATAAGTCGCATGTATTATGCGTCAACGCTCACCACTTGGAAATGTGGGCTGGTGTTGTGCCAAAAATCGATTGGCTGCCAAATGGCGGCCGTGGTAGCGTGCGTGGGAGGATTTTAACAAGAATTGAACAAGATTAACACTTAAAAACAATTATTTGTTTGTTCGAAATTATAACAAAGTTGTGTCTCAGGTTAACTTTTACTTAATTCATGTATTTTGACGTCAAATCAGCTGCATTTCAAAAGCTGATACGCCGAAACATGAACGCGCAGAGGGCGACTCGCTGTGCGTTTCTTCAAAATTTAACAAGATAACCATCTAAAAACAATTATTAATTTGCTCGACATTATAGTAAAGATGTGTCTCAGTCTAACTTTTACTTAATGCACTTTAATGGTCAAATTAGCTGCACTTCACGGGGGCAATGCAGCGAAATTAAGCTGATTTGAGGGTTGTTCCAGGCGAGCTGGACGAAGGTGGCAGGCTATGGCAAGCCAACTGTGTCATTATTAGCCACTTTTACCCATTACATGAAGGCATGCCATACGATAGAGTGCCATCTAGTGGCTGAAAATGGTAGTGTCCAATATTTTCAGTCAGAATGAATGAAAACGGCCATACCTCAGCAAAAAAATAGTTTATAAATATGGGGAAAAAACATAAATGCACTAAGATGCTTCGGTGTATAAGTCGCAGGGCATGTAAATTATGCAAAAAACTGTGACTTATAGGGCGAAAAATACGGTATAAAACAATACAGCATCTATAGCAAGCAAAGGCCTTTTCTCAACATTGAACCCTTGTTAGATTATACCTTTGCACCTTTGTTGTCTTGCTGGGATTCAAGGGAGTAACTTTTTTGGTTTAAGATCCAACATGATTAGCAAAAACACTGATTGTTAGGTGTTCAGAAAAGGGCAAAGTTCAGCATGTGGCTGGAGCTGTAGGATCCTCTCTGTGATCCATTAAAATGTCCTGAGTCAGATTTCCACTACAGCTCACTCTGAGTTGTATTAAAACAGATTCACCCCACTTGACCCACGCAGGGTGTCACAACAAGCAGCATTTATGTGCTTGACCGAGGTGAATCTATTTGCAATAATGTTTGTGTTACACAAAAGGCACAGAACAACGCAGCAACCAAAGAGCAGATGATTGAATATTGTTTGGAGTGAGTGGTTTACCATAAGCTCTGCAGCAGGACGCTGTCAGTGTACTGGAAGACTGGAGCAGCCAGGGACGCTGCAACCAGGCACAGCTGGATGGCTGTGTTCACCTGCAAACATCAAGAGGATACCATCAAATGTGAGAAAACTAAATCTTCCACTTAATGTTTACAAGTAAAACTAAATTTCCTGCCAACCAATAGGATCCTGTATGTCTGCATATCTAATGGATGTCAGACGTCACAAAAAAGACTGAATGTGAGGACGTTTGTTTTTTTATTTTAGAGTCTGTAAAACAAATAGTCAAACTGATTGTTTGATATGAAAGCACGGTTTCTGCTCCACTTACAGCTTTTAAAGCAGCGGTTCTCTAACTACGGGGCGAGACCCGTACAGGAAAACGGGGTCCAGGTTTACTACAGGGGGCACGTGACCACTCACTTCTGTTTTAATACTCGGGACAAAAAAATTGCAAGAAAAACCAACATTTAGATGTTGCAACATAACATTTAAGACTAACTTTGATCAAAATCAGCTTTGTACTTACAAAAACACTCAAAATCTAAATTTGAGGTAAAAATCAAGTCATGTGTAGCAGAACATGTAATCAGTGGTTACATTACATTTAGCGGATTAGCGTTTATGCTAACTTTGAAAACTTTTAGCAGAATTTACTTTTGCTAAATTAAAATCTGGTAAATTCAAGTTTGTACGTTTTTAAAGACAGTTCTCTGCACTAAAATCATACAGGAGAATGGTGAATGACATGGGACGGAGCTATGCTACACTATGTAGAGCTGAGCAAAGCTAAGCACCACCTGCTGATGTCACCACTCTTGCAGCACTTTCTCCCCTCATATCTACTGCTAACAGTCTGACTGTTGGTGACTCATGGTGTCACTTTAGACTCTTTTACATAAATCCCAAACCAAACCAGAACAGGAATGGAACACACTCAGAAACATTGTAAACAGTCAGAAACATTGTAAACGGTCAGAAACATTGCAAACGGTCAGAAACATTGTAAACAGTCAGAAACATTGTAAACAGTCAGAAACATTGTAAACAGTCAGAAACATTGCAGGCATTATTCCTATCCAGCATGTTTTGAAACGCTCACAAAGTCTCTGGGACGTGACTCTCTCACACATTTCACATATCTTTACTTTATGAATGAATGAATGAATGAATGCCTTTTACTGCCACTATATCCATGTATAATGAGAAAAGCAACTCCACTCACAGTACAAACATATACAGAAGCAAAAAATAAAAACAAATAAAAGTATGCTATAACAGTAGTACAGTAGTCCCTCGCTACTTTGCGGTTTTTCAAAGTAAGATTGGCCATGACACACAATTGACTGATTGATGGATGAGCTGCACAAAAAGCAAGACATTTTTATTTAAAACAAAATATTTGAAATTATTTAGCACCTGCTGCACCTGTGTGCAGCCCACACTACAGAAGCTTCCTCCCACAGCAGAAGTGGGCGTGGCCAAGAGCGCTGGCAGAGTTCATGACATTTTGGGAGTTTAGAAACATTGTTTAGAATACTGCAAGTGTGTGCGAAGGGTTTAAAACACCTATATATATATATATATATATATATATATATATATATATACACACACTACTACTTGCACTGCTATTTCTACTTCACAGTTTTTCACTTATCGTGGGGCTTCAGGGTACGGATCCCCTGCGATAAACAAGGAACTACTGTAGAAGCATGGCACTAAAACAGTAGTGGCATTTTCACACTGCATTGTGCAATACTAAAAAAGTTAAATCTGGTCCTCCGGACATTCAAAAAAAAACACAAAACAAAGCAAATCAACAAAAAATGTAGAAACGTTTCGTCTCTCATCCGAGAGACTTACTCTTTTTTAGATTTTTCAACCTGGATTATTGAGCATGCATCAGGATATTGTGCAATACTGTTTATAAATTAAGTAGTTAGATATGTAAAACATGTTAATCAATGCATATTAGGTGTGTAAAAGCAAGTCCAGGGGTATGGAAGGTTAGGCTGTTCTTGAGTCTGTTTTCGTTCTGCTGCACCTGTAGCGCCGCCCTGAGGGCAGCAGATCAAACAATTTAAAACCAGGGTGAGAGCTGTCCTTGATCATCCCTCTACGGGATTTGTAAATATCCATCAGGGAGGGGAGAGGGCATCCAATGATGTTCTGTGCTGCATTTACTACTAATAATAATGAATACAAACAGATTTTACTGAGAGAATATTGATGATATTGCACATCATCTTTGTAGTTAGTTTATAAAAGCAGTTAACCACAAAGAGGATCACCAAAGTGCGTTAATTAAAGTAAATGACACGAGGGAGACGTCCGACACACATTGAATGCATCACTGCTTCAGCACAGCAGAGTTCTGCTCTGTCTCTGTGGTTCTGATGGACCGGATTCATTTATGAAAGCTCATCTCTGAACAGGACATGGAGGCTTACTTGTGAGTTATGAACCATTCTTAGTCGTGTTTACTTACAATGTTGTCAATTTACAGACAGTCGTACAGTGTCAGAGACAGCAGTGGATGACAAAAGTTAGCCCTTTAGCGTTAGCATCCGATAATTTTTTTAAACATCTGTTTAGTGGATTAGCATTACAGGAGCTAATTTGTAACAGTCTTCACAGTATCCTAATTTTCTGAATTCCTGTTTCCGTGGGTTTTATGAGCTGGAAGCCCAAATTATGTAAAAATAAACAAATAAATACTTGAAATTGATTAAATTGTGGGTCCTGAATCTATCATCTATTAAAGATCAACTTTCTGAATGGAATTATGGAAGTTAAAACAACTTTTCCATGATATGCTAATTTTTTGGAAAGGGTCTGTATATATGTACCAGTATGTGTTGCCATGGTGGTGTGCAAAAAAACAAAAATAAAAGCCTTGTTTACATGAGAACCTCTGGAAAGGTTTGTGTTTATTTAATGTTTATTGGGATGAATAAACAAAAATAGAGCAAGTTTACAAGGAAGCGCTGTCGTTTTCATGCCAGGTAGGGTTGCCAGATAAGAAATTATGAACTATTGTAATGTCACTTTAAAATTATTGTATTTTGACCCAAACTATCATCAGTACCAAGTGAGGGTGTTGTAAGATGAGATGTGTGTTGTGTTTGGTGCACATGCGCACACAGGAACACGTGAAAACAGGAATGTTCCTTTGGACCGAGGATGTTGTAGGTTTTACTACTACGTGTTGAAAAAGGGTAAGAGGCACAAAAAAACCCACTCTGCTCTCTGACATTGAAACTGTTGTTAATTAAGAAAAACTTTTCAGCGCAGTCGCCTGTAGTGCAACTTCACACCTGCGGAGTATCTCACACCTCTGCGGGGCTCCCCCGAAAACCTCCCCTCAGACCTGGATTCAGAAACTTTCGGTTTCACAGAGAACGAGGCTGTCGTCGTGCACACGAACAACCAAACAGCAGAAAGCGTCGATTTCACTCAAAAAACACGTGTAAACAAGGCCAAAGAGGTGAGGCGCTTACTCAATGTTTAGCTTTGTCAGACATGTTTAATTCAAAATGTTCAGATTCTATCAAACATGTTTAGAATGTGTTAATGTGATCAGGATTATTTCAATTAGTTTAAAATTTAGTAGCAGCAAATATGTCATTTTTAGGAACTTTATTTGGAAAAAAATGGATGGATGGATGATTTATTAATACCAGGGGAGATGAATAAATTCAAAGTAAGTGGGTAGTGTGTCTCACCTTGCTGATCAAAGTGGGCTTTAGCTGTGCTGTAGTGTAGCAGGGGTTAAAAAACTTACTAAGAGTCACCTGCAGAAAAGAAAAAACAACAGTAAAAGGACACTTTAAACAATTTTTAAATAAATCTTTTAGACACAAATTAATTTCAACCATTTAAAGAAAAATTATGAGATAAAAGAAAGGTACGAGCTATAACAGAGATATAAAGACAATTTTAAGACAGGCTGTCAGCATCTCAAGCCTTTTATTAATAAAATGTAAAAGTAAACAATAGTACAGGGCACATGCGCATAGACATAAAAATGACGAGTAATCACTATTTGGGTCAAAGCTTGCAATAAAACGAAATCTGATGCGACGTGGCTATTCTGTTAGCACTCACTACACCAACGATTAGCTCAGCCTTATAGCCATTTCTGTGGTGGCTAAGGTCAAGTAGCTTGCTAATAAGTTTAATAACACTTTTCAAACCATGTGAACAATTCAAGACCATCCAGCTCCCTAAACATCTCAACAGGTTACATTCACTTGAGCATGAGGCAGTTTCTGTGCCAAACACGTCAGACTGTTGGGAGTGAAATGTTCTGAAAGGTTCTGCTCACCGGTGGAGGCACAGTCTTGTATCTGACCCAGAAGACAGCAGCGATCAAACCGATGTCTCTGAAAATCACTAAAGCTGTCAGTGGAGCTGAAACAGAAGACATCAGGTGATGTTTGTGCTGCTGTTTTAATAGCAGCAACACTAAAACACGAGACAAGCCAGAATCTGACAAACACTGAGTTTAATACCTGGGATAAGTTCAGCGTACGTGAGACTGATGTATAAAATACTGATGAGAATCTTATCAGCCAGAGGGTCAAGAGCGCTGCCTAAAGCAGACTTCTGACTGGGCCACGTCCTCGCAATGAAACCATCCAACTACAGGAGACACAAAAGGACAAAAAGTCACGACATGTAATGGATCATTCTGCTAACAGTTCAGATTTAGAATGAAACTAGCCTCAGTAGTTTTATGTGCAAAAACACCTGAAATCTGACTGGAAAAACAATGAATGAATATTAAGATGAGATCAGTTAAGACAAAATAAAATAAGATAAGAACTTTATTGATCCCGCAGGAAATTGTTGCAGGGGTCGGATCGTCCTCCCCCAGAAAATTTTGAATAAAGCAGAGGCCATTTCCTGCATTCTGGTGTATTTTATCAGGCTGCTAAACATCTACGTTTACCTACATTTGTAAACACGATTCAAGAACTATTTTAGAGATTTTACAGACCAACAGCTCTCCTTGTGTGAATAGAGCAAGTTTCTCTTCTTTCAAGCATCCTAGCCTCGCAGCGTTGAATACTGACGGAACTAATGTAGCGCTAAACTAGCAGCGTGCAAAACAGATGCCTTAGCTAAAATGCTACAGACGTAGCACTCTGCTTCTCTCACACCCCCCCGTCAACAACTGCCAGCACTAACGTGGCGCTAAGCTAGCACGTAAAACAGACGTGTCTCCTCTTCCACCGTGAGCACCCTGCCAAGGCAGAGGACCGAGGAGAATCACTGCATGTGGTGTGGAGTTGTTGAAGGTAACCTGGAAAACCTGGAGTGGACTTTTAGTAGTTTGTGCATTTTATTAAACAAGTGGAATGGATTAGTTTATGAAGAAATAAAAACAGTGCTGGGTGAACTAATATTTCATGGTAAATGTGGGGGTTCCGAATTAATATTTTTTAAATGAGCAGGGGGACAGGTCCCCTTCACATAAAATTGTTGCGACGCCTATATTCGGAAGACTCCTTTGCAAACGTGGTTTGTCAACTAGTTGCAGCCCAGTGACATACAGTGCCTTGTGAAAGTATTCGGACTCCTTGAACTTTTCAACCTTTTGCCACATTTCAGGCTTCAAACATAAAGATATAAAATTTTAATTTTTTGTGAAGAATCAACAACAAGTGGGACACAATCGTGAAGTGGAATGAAATTTATTGGATGTGTCAAACTTTTTTAACAAATAAAAAACTGAAAAGTGGGGCGTGCAATATTATTGGGCCCCCTTGCTTTAATACTTTGTAGCTCCGCCTTTTGCTGCAGTTCCAGCTGCAAGTCTCTTGGGGTTTGTCTCTATCAGTTTTGCACATGGAGACATTGAAATTCTTGCCCATTCTTCTTTGTAAAACAGCTCGAGCTCAGTGAGGTTGGATGGAGAGGGTTTGTGAACAGCAGTCTTCAGCTCTTTCCACAGATTCTCGATTGGATTCAGGTCTGGACTTTGACTTGACCATTCCAACACCTGGATACGTTTATTTGTGAACCATTCCATTGTAGATTTGACTTTATGTTTTGGATCATTGTCTTGTTGGAAGATAAATCTCCGTCCCAGTCTCAAGTCTCTTGCAGACTCAAACAGGTTTTCTTCCAGAATGGTCCTGTATTTGGCCCCATCCATCTTCCCATCAATTCTGACCATCTTCCCTGTCCCTGCTGACGAAAAGCAGGCCCAAACCATGATGCTGCCACCACCATGTTTGACAGTGAGGATGGTGTGTTCAGGGTGATGAGCTGTGTTGCTTTTACGCCAAACATATTGTTTTGCATTGTGGCCAAACAGTTTGATTTTAGTTTCATCTGACCAGAGCACCTTCTTCCACATGTTTGGTGTCTCCCAGGTGCTTGTGACAAACTTTAAACAACACTTTTTATGGATATCTTTGAGAAATGGCTTTCTTCTTGCCACTCTTTCATAAAGGCCAGATTTGTGCAGTGTACGACTGATTGTTGTCCTATGGACAGACTCTCCCACCTCAGCTGTAGATCTCTGCAGTTCATCCAGAGTGATCATGGGCCTCTTGGCTGCATCTTTGATCAGTTTTCTCCTTGTTCGAGATGAAAGTTTAGAGGGACGGCCGGGTCTTGGTAGATTTGCAGTGGTCTGATACTCCTTCCATTTCAATATGATTGCTTGCACAGTGCTCCTTGGGATGTTTAAAGCTTGGGAAATCTTTTTGTATCCAAATCCAGCTTTAAACTTCACAACAGTATCTCGGACCTGCCTGGTGTGTTCCTTGGTCTTCATGATGCTCTCTGTGCTTTGAACAGAACCCTGAGACTATCACAGAGCAGGTGCATTTATACGGAGACTTGATTACAAACAGGTGGATTCTATTGATCATCATCAGTCATTTGGGACAACATTGGATCATTCATAGATCCTCACTGAACTTCTGGAGGGAGTTTGCTGCACTGAAAGTAAAGGGGCCAAATAATATTGCACGCCCACTTTTCAGTTTTTTATTTGTTAAAAAAGTTTGACACATCCAATAAATTACATTCCACTTCACGATTGTGTCCCACTTGTTGTTGATTCTTCACAAAAAATTAACATTTTATATCTTTATGTTTGAAGCCTGAAATATGGCAAAAGGTTGAAAAGTTCAAGGGGGCCGAATACTTTCACAAGGCATCTCAAGACTTATGTAGTTTTCCTCAGAACCCCCCCCCCCC